AGGGTGGAGGGAAGGGGGTTAGAAAGGGGGAACTGATCACAAGGATCTACATATAACCTTCCTGGGTACGGACAACAGAAAAGTGGGTGAAGGGAGATGGGCAGTATAAGACATGACAAAACAATAATTTATAATTATCAGGCATTTTGTGGGGGAGGAGAGGGAGGGGGGAAATGAGCTGATACCAAGGGCTCAAGTAGAAAGAAAATGTTTTGAGGATGATGGTGCAACAAATGTGCTTGGCACAATGGATGTATGTATGGATTGTGATGAGTCATACAATAAAATGATTTAAAGAATTCAATACTGGAATATAAAGAATAAAATGATTTTTTTTAAAGGCATTTTGAAAATTTAGATGGTTTGTACCTTTTAAAGAGTCTTGCAGTTGCCCTCTGTCACTTACTATTCAGAATAAACAGGCCACATTTATTTAAAAATTAATGTTTTAGATATCCTATATGGTCGCTCTGAGTCGGATTCGACATTGGCAAAACTCAATGAGTTTTGAGGTTTCTTTGTTTTTGTTATTTTTAAATAATATAACAGTTTATAAAGTTGGTGATTTGTGTTTAGGATAAAAAGAAATCTTTTCACTTTGGATTGCTAAAAAATAGCTACATGACGGTTTCCCTTACAAAAAATAAGGATTGCTGAATTATTAATGAAACTGTGGCAAGGGCCAAAGTCAGAGTAAATCTTTCCTTTTAATAAAAACGCCTGGGATCCTGACAAGGTTTAGGACAACTCACGTGGTTGAATTTACATTCAAATATCTTTCAGGTTTTTGTTGTTTGTAGATAGCAAATCTGAAAACCTAACCTAAAAAAAATTTGTATGCATTATGAAGCATGGTAATAATAAACTGCATTGGTGGTAATGAAGAGTCCCACAAGTGCTGAAGATTGACATAACCTTTAACAAGATGGACAATTTATTAGAACTGCCAATTCCAGGTTCCGAGGTACGCCACAGTGCGTCATTGTGCCATTGGGACAGATTAGAATGGTACCATTTTTCACTAAATGTGTGAGACAGTTGAGAGTTATTACTTGAGACAAGGGTTTGTATAAATTTAGGGATTATTGCCTTTGGTAAGCAGAGCATCACTTTCACATACTTTTTAGAAACATTTATCCCATAACATGTTTTTCAAGCTCTACCTAGTAATTTCTAAACTTCAAAATAACCTTTAAGTTCACTTACAAAGTTTCATAGATCATAGAACACCTTGTAATTTGAGTCCTTCATCCCCACCCCCACCCCACTTCTTAGGCAAAGTACTTCAGAGCATTTGCCTAATCCCCACAACAGTATTTGGAATTAAGATGGAAACCAATAATTATCCTCTGCAAACAGAGAAAATAAGTAAAGTTGTGTTCTGGTCCTAAAGTTGTGCTCTGGTCCATGGTCATGAATAACTCACGGTGAAAAATCCTGGTAATCCAACTGCTTCTTGTACTTCCATTATTTGTATTACTTAAATAAAAGATGAGTTTAAATATTTTTTTTTGCCATAATGCTGTGACTCTACTAAGTAGGAATATAAGTTAAATTTTCAAAGGAAAAAATACGAAACCGGTTTGTGTAGTGAAGAGACTAAGTACGGAAGTATTTTGTTTGTTTTAAAGATCATTGATGCTCTTAGTGGGAAATAAATTGCATTACTAACAGTGTCATTCTAACCTAGACAGCAGTGATTAGAAAAAGTATACAAAGAACACTCTAAAGACCCATGGAACAATAATGAACCATTAACTTGGCACTGAGCTATACCATAATAAAGTCATACGTATTGTATATTGACATACACTGAGTAGGGTGACAGGAATTTTCAGTAACGAGTTTAGAAAATTGTTCATTTTTTGCTAATGTGTGTCAATATAAGACCGACAAAGCAAGACAAGGAAGCATCGAGCATGGAGTCTTTGTGCCCAGTAGCCAAAGGCAAGCCTTGGTGACGGGCAGCAGCGCCCTGGCTTGTCAGACGGCACCGATCCTGTGGTGAGGCACCTGAAGAGTCTGCAGGTTGGGGCACGTGAAACAAGGAGCCGGCAGGAAGCACGCAGCTATTCCATTGGACGCAAAGGGAAGCGTGGGCCCATAGAACACTTCCTCTTGGCCTTCCCTGCTTACGTCCAGCACCTGCGAAAGAAGAGGCAAAGCCTGTATGTCAGACAGCGGCTCCAAACCCAGCCTGTATCAGTGAGCTTCACCAGGTTCCCTTATGTGTCAGCAGTGCCCGCGTGTCGTCATGGTAAGTTTTTTCACTGAGCTAATACCAGAAACACGTATGAACTTCCTAGATATTAGACTGGCTTTGTCGTTGTGTTTACAAACACACATTTGTCATACCAATGTTAAAATAGTGATGAGATAGACACGGTTTTTCTCATTTAAGAAAACTGCCTGCCACTGGTATTAAGAAAAAAAAAAGTGCCCAAACTAGTCAGTAGGTAGAGTTGCATTGTTAGCTTGCAGACCCCATGCCTACCCTTCGCTGAGGGGCTGAAACAGGACCAACAAGGTCCTTTGGAGCAGGGCTCACGAAGTGGCCATCACGGAGGAAAGCGAAGGGAGCCTTTCGCCCTTCTTTAGCACCTGGAATGTTTGCAGTTGACCGCATGGAATAAAAGTCCAGTCTGTTGTTTACTTCCAGAGTTTGTATAATGTCTTTATTGCTTTTTTTCCCTTCCCAACTTACAGCTCTTAAATGTCCAAACCCTGCAGACCCAGTTTTCTCCTAGCTGACCCACCTAAACGTTATAGGCACCCCAAATAAAGAATGTCCAAGATGCAAGGACATTATCCCCACTTTAAAGAATCAATATTGTGTTTTCCATGCCCAGGCCTAAGATTTTTAATTCGTTGTCTTTTATTTTTTTAACATTTTATTGGGGGCTCTTACAGCTCTTGTAATATCCATACAACAGTTGTATCAAGCACATTTATACATATGTTGTCATCATTATTTTCTAGATACTTGTTTTCTATTGAGCCCTTGGTGTCAGCTCCTCTTCCCCACCTCCTCTCCCCCCGCCCACCCTAGTGGCCCCTTGATAAATTATAAATTATTACTTTCATGTCTTACACCGACCGCTGTCTGGTGGAGAGCCAGCAGTTGAAAATTCCTGCTTTGATTGTATCCTCGTGTACCATAATTAGGAGTGTGAGACTCTTATCTTACCAGTTTTTACTTTGGAAAAGTGCCACAAAGAAGGCACTGTTTTTATCAAATAGTCTGGTCGGTGTCTCTAACTTTACCCCTGACTTTCTAACCTCGACTCTGACAGGTAATGTAGATCTCGAAATACCTGGGAGGAACCTAGCCTTGGAAATCACACTGATTGGATTTAAATCCCAGTCTGTGGTTCAGTAGCTTTATGGCTGCAGGTTACCCAACCTCTCCCAGCCTACTTCCTCATTAGTAAAATTAGGGACCCACTAGCCTAAGTCAGCTTTATTATGAAAATTGGAGACGTCTAGCTCAGTGTCTAGCACATAGGGTCTTACAGCACAGCTTAGTAGCAGATTCAAAATTAGTTCTCATTTTGGAAAGGTTTCTTCTGTTACTTCCTCCTTCAAGCTGTAGTTGCCTCTCTCCTGATATGGCACCGTCTCCGCTAGTCTGCGTGCTGGCTGGCTTACTCCTTACTCTGAGGAAAGTGGCTTCTGGAGGAAAACTGCTCGTGTCCTATTTGTCACACCCATCAGACTCTAGCCCTAAATCACTTTAATCTCGCTTCCTGTGCTCTTCCTCCAACCCTACGTAAAACCTTGCCTCCCGCCCAGCTAAAAAAGGAAGCTCCCGACATTCAAGAGCAAATTGGAAATATTGTTTACTACAACTAGGTAGGGTCTTTAAGTATTGTCTTCAATGTCCAGAGCAGAGAGCTGAGCTGCAGAGAAAGCAGGTGCCTTGCACAGTCATATGACTACCAAGTGGAAGCCAATAGTTGAGCTCAAGGATGCAGCCCAAGAAAGAGCAAGAGTTTCTGGCCACGTGTGTTCTCCCTTCCCCCAGTGGAATGTGTTTTTCGAAGACAGGATGTCAGCTGAGGTAATCATCCAGAGAGGTTTTGCCTGGCTCCTGGGCCAACAGAGACTGCATATGCTTAGCAGATGTAATGTATTTAATCTGTGAGCAGGGAAAAGGAAGTGTTGGCGGTTTTTCTCCCAAACACTCCTCTGTTAACTGGCAGAAAGAAGGCATTTGGGAGATGGAGATGCCAGTTTGGCAGCATGTCTTCCAGCCAAAAGGAAGTAATAGTAACTGAAGAGCAGCAGAGGTGATCTGGAAACACAGGCTAATCACTTGCACACTTATGCAGCTGGTCCCTTATGTGCTCCTCCGCACCCACGGCACACCAGATGAGAGTGAGAATTCTGTGCCAGACGTGTGCTCACACGCCCGCTCAGTAAACAAGAGCACCTTCACTTCTGTCCAGAATCCACGACAAGTACCTTCCAGAAGTAGTCATGACTGACAAAGCCCAAAACTCTTATCTGTAAACAAGTATTAATTTCAGAGCCTCTCAGCTTTTCCCTTAGTTTCGGTTGTCTTGTGGCTGATAGGCTCCTCTGTGCTCGGTCATGTATAACAGGGAAAGGAATTCATTTGCCTTCTCCACATCCACAGGACTGAGGCCAGTACGTGGCAGCGGAACTTGGGGTACGGTCCAGAAAGGGCAGTCTAATGAGATAGGTTATTGGCTGGTATTTTTGAGCACAAACAAATGGTTTCAGGCATTCTGGATGTTAATGACCAATCATAGTACCATGTATGTACAACCTTCACCAGTTTTAATTGGCTGTGACCTTAGAATGCAAAGATTATGGCATGAAAAATGGAAACTTTGTTAGACTGAGTTTATAAACTCTTTTCCGTACTTCTCACCCTGGACTTATAGTAGGAATTTCTACTGTTAATGTTTCCTCACAAGCACTGACTATTCTAGTCTTCCATGACTTATTTTCTTTGTTGTATACTCTTCCATCAGGTAGTAAAGACCAAAACAAATCCAAGGTTGGAAGTTCCAGGCTACCCAAAGGCACTTGGTGACAGCCAGTGTTTTTCCCATAAAAATCTGCATTGACAACCCTGTGGAAGCCACTTGTACTATGACAACCATGGTGCCATCCTGAGTCAGAGAAGACAATGGGCCTGTGGGATGTCCTAGACTGCCAGGTATTGTGTGTAACACGGAGCTAGTCTTTTCAACCATCAATGCACCGCTGTTAATGTACCAAGATAAATTGTTCCATGGTCATCAAACAAGTAAAGGTTTTGCGATAGTGCAGTGACAGTTCACCTGGAATGATAATGTAACCGTTTTTAGAAACTGAACGGAAAGCTCTATGACCGGTCCATAAAGACATCTATTCGAAACATTTCTTTAAGTGAAAATATATATGCTTATATAGACAATGACTATCTGTTAACATTAGGAGTTATCAAAACCCTTTGTCAAATGTATCAAGACTTTCTAGAATTGGTGTGCCAGTCACGGGATTAGACATCATTTGCTGTAGGTCTGATCGTGTCCACCAGAGAGGCTACCAGAACAACTAATTACCCGTGCTGCTGTTGTTTTGTAAAAATAGTAATCCCAAAGGTGAAATTTATTCCAGCACAGGATACTAGCTGTTTTTAAGCAAAATTGTTTAAAACAATTAAAAATCTTTGAATCACCAGTCTTGAGGACACTCTTGAATATTCTCAGGGGTTTAAAACATTTGAGGTGGATCATAAGATATTGCTACTGGGCTCCCAGTTCATACACACAGGCTTTTTCCAAACTGTTTCCACTCATCTCTGCAATGAGCCCAGGATGCAGGCAAGGTCTCGGTGACGCGCTTATCTCGTGAGGGTGCTTTAACACACAGGGCGTGGGCTACTCAAACCACTTGCTTAAGAGCTGATCTTCCATCAGTCTTTCAGGCAAGATGGAAAGTAGAAAAGGTGATGTTACAAAATTAATGAACCAGAGATGAGTCTTAGATTCCTCAGTATGATCCCCAGAGCAAAGTCCAATCCAAACTGGATCCTGAGGGCATCTGCAGGGCCACTTAAGTTCAAGGCAGAGGTGTCCACTCAAAAGGTTATGATCACTTTTGAGGGGATTCCAAAGAGGTAATCCTGACAGACTTTCTTGAAGGACACAAGGGAACCATGGGGCAGGGGGGCTTGTGGAAAAATATTTTTAAAAATCTGAAAACTGCCCTGGTGACAAAAGGTTTCCCATCGGGACACTGCACCTGCTCTTTCTAGAAGGATAGGAAGGGCTGTCCAATGAGGATTGAATGGAGAAACTCTCCCGCCTACTCCTTGCCCCTTCAAGCTTTCTGTTCCCCAAACTCGGCATTTAAAAGGAACACACTGTGTCCATTGAAGCTGCCCAAACTGCTGCTGACGGTGCCCATCGAAGGGCCAGGGAGCAGCGGACATGGAAGCACAGCATTGGGCTGCTCACTGCAAGGCCAGCAGTTTGAGACCACCAGTCCCTCGGGGGGAGGCAGAGGAGGCTTTCTTTTCCCACTGAGAGTCACAGTCGTGTAAGCTCACAGAGGCAGAGTTCAACCCTGTCTACAGGGCTGCTATGGGTCACAATCAACTCACTGGCAGTGAGTTTGGTTTTTGTTATCTCTGACTAAATAAGGGTTTTGTCAACTTTTTATTAGATTGTGATGTAATGACCATCTCTATAGTTACAGATCTCCTAGCGTAGGTGGTGCAAATGGTTAACATGCTCAGATATTAACCAAAAGGTTGGAGGCTGCAGACTACCTAGCTGCACCTTGGTTATGGTTTTTTCCATAAAACTATGCATTGAAAACCCTGTGGAAGCTACTTGTACTGTGACACCCATGGGGGTCATCATGTGTCAGAAAAGGCTGGGCCTGGGGGAATATCATAGACTGCCAGTTATTGTTTTGAATCTGTTCCATTTTTCTTAACCCAAACCCTCTTTCATGATTCATTTTGATAAACAGTCTATGAGGGTGCTTCAAATCATTTAGGGAAGGTGTTCATTATCCTTTAATTCCATTTTTCCACAAGCTCTTGTATATAAAGAATTAAAAAGTTTCCAAAGCTCCCTTGGATATCCACTCTAACTCATGATCCAGAATCACAGCAAGTAAGATGCTCAAATTCTCAACCTTCTTTTAAAATTCCCTACCTTTGATGATTCCACCCCCACCCCTCCCAAGTTGGCTCATAAGAACAGGAGTAGGTAGAAATGGCAAGGCTCGTCAGAAGTCAAGGAGAGACAATATGATGAATGTGATGGTGGGTATGAGGTAAGTAAAAAAATGTTGCCACAAAACCATAGAAACCTTTATTGAACCGAAATAGCAAAGCATGACACTGTTGTTTCTGGCCATAGCGCCCCTCTAGCTCTGTTCACTTCTGAAGGTGAATGTTTCATCTCTCACCCTCTCCCCATAAAATTCTGCACAAAATGGCAAGGGGTATCCTCGGGGGACTCGTGTCCTCTGAGTTTGGGGAACAAAGAGATCTGAAGAGGCAAAATGCTATCACAGGATGGATGGGGCAATTCAAGAGAATTGTTTTTAGGATACAGGATGAAGTTTAGCAGCTGAAGCAGCACCAGGATTTTGACAGTGAGCTTAAGCTTCTTTCTACATGTAAACATCTTTTCCTTCCATAGCAGCGGGGCACAAGTCACTTTCCTGACCCGCTTAAGCAAACTTCCAAGGGAACTTGAACCACCCACCTGGATACAGGCCAGAGGCTCATTTGTCCAAATCGAATATCCTCCAACTAAATATATTCTCCCGTTATGGACAGCAACTCCTGATTCATTCTGGCCTAAAGTAAAGAGAAGCAAATATGAATAAAACACGTCTGTTTCCCTGCATGTTTGAATGAAAGCCCCTGCCCCTGAGGACCACAGTGCCCTCCCGTGGCACGCTGTGTATGCAGTGGGTTTTGTGGGGCAGTTCATGCCTGCCTTCTAGGTCCCAGAGGGAAGCATATGCTACAGATTATCCCAGAAAGGGTCTCAGTGCCACACCAGAACCAGGCCACAACAATGATTAGCACATTGGTGAATACAGTATTAAAGACAACCATAATAAAGAAAGCATCTAGAAGTTAAGAGGGATACTATACAAGGGAGCTGCATAAAGTCTGTGGGGGGAAAAGTCCATTATCTTTGCATTCCATTTCCCCATGAACTTTTTGAAGCCACTTCGTTTTATATTCCATTAATTTACAGTGGTGGCGAAAAGGTGTCTTTTAGCAATGCAAAGTACCTCTTGTATCGGCAGTGCCTTTTTGGCACCGTAAAGTAATAGCTACAACCCCAAGAAGCCAATAACACAGCCATGCTCCGAGCATGCCCCAAATAAAGATAAATGGCAGGCAGGATTGATACAGTTACTACCCTTCCTTCCTTTGCATACATAAGAATTTGAGGACTATATTAAAGTTCTTCAGCTGGAACTAGCCTAGATACTGACATCACCAAAATGATGAAAGTTGTCACCACCCACCCCCCCACGCGCCCCCCAGCCTCCCATTTGAAAAGGAAGACAGAATAACTCACTCCCACATATTCCTCCCTGGAGGCCATCAGAGAGTGAGATCGTCTCTTTTTATTGATGGGCTGACACAGGACTGACTGGGGTAATAAATAAACTGGGTCCTATAACAGGCAGAATCACGGGACGGCGACCTCAGGTGGCGCTACAGCAACGTGGGGAGCGTTAAGTACTTGTAGGGAGGCTTCAACAATCATTTTGTGGAAACAGGAGCTCAACCGTTAAGGGATCCAGCCTCTCCCACACCCCAAAGGGTTGTGTGTGTGGGGAGAGGGGGATAACCTGACCCCAGCAGCAGCTGGGAGTGAGTACCAGCCTACCCAGCCTATTGAAATACTGATCCCTTGCTGATATTAAGGCGGACGGACAGAGGGGGAATGTGTTCCCCTCCACGCAGCAGAGCCAGGGAAGAGGGGCTCTGCTCCCTGTCGGATGTGGATAACCCTGAGCCCCGTGGGCTTCCAAACCCGGTGTTGCCCTGTGGCCATGCTTGGATGTGAGGGTTGCCGCATCGGCTGTGAGTGGCTGTGCAGAGAGCTGCTGGGTGGGGTTAGATGTGAGGAGAATACAGCCAGAGACAATATTTGACCATGACAAACAGGAAGACCCTTTTCTCAAACTTCAGAACCTGAGAAATAAAGTCGGAGTTAGTGAGAAGTTCAAGACACTGCTTCTGCGAGGGCGATGAACTCTTCCAGCCTGCTTCCTGCTCGTCTACCAACCAAAGTTCCTATGTGAACCCTGACTCGTGGACTTTAAGCATCACACAGGCACATGTAGAAACCGCTTGTCAGGCCGTGGGAAACACGAGCAGCTCAGCTGACCGGCAGTCAGTGTCTGTGAGATAACGTGCATCTTCGGGGGGAATGGGAGCAACTTTACCACCCTTGCCTGGCTTTTGGGTTGGTTCCAACTCCTGGTAGTCCCACTGACCGAGGTTTTAAATGGCTCATTTTGAAACGGGCCTTTCTTCCTCAGTGCCCAGGGTAAACTTAAACCACCAATTTTTCAGTGAAGCAGTTGATGCAGTATATATATCTTTTCTTTTTTTTTAACAAATCATTTTATTAGGGGCTCTTCCAGCTCTTATAACAATCCATACATCAATTGTATCAAGCACATTTGTACATATGTTGCCGCCATCTTTGTAAAAACATTTTCTTTCTACTTGAGCCCTTGGTATCAGCTCCTTTTCCCCCCTCCCTCTCCCAACCTCATGACCCCTTGATAAAATTTAAATTATTATTATTTTCATAACTTAAACAGTCCACTGTCTCCCTTTACCCTTCTGTTGTTGGTCCCCCTGGATGGGGGGACACTTATATATCGACCGTTCTGATCTGTTCCCCCTTATCCCCACACCCTCCCCGGACCCTCCTGGCATCACTACTCCCATTATTGTACCTGAGGGGACTATCTGTCCTGGATTCCTTGTGTCAAGAGCTCTTATCTGTACCAGTGTACATGCTCCAGTATAGCAGATTTGTAAGGTAGAACTGGGGTCATGATATTGGGGTTGGGGAAGAAGCATTAAAGAACTAGAGGAATGTTATGTGTTTTGTTGGTGCTATACCACCCTTGGCTGGCTCATCCCTTCCTTCTGTGAGGGATGTCCACTTGTCTACAGATGGGCTTGGGGTCTCTACTCTCTCCCCCCTCATTCACATAGATATGATTGTTTGTTTGGGGTCTTCTGATACCTGATCCTGTCAATACCCTGTGATCACACAGGCTGGTGTGCTTCTTCCATGTGGGCTTTGTTGCTTCCCTGCTAGATGGATGGAGTATAGTTCTTAAGATGGCTTATCTATCCATGTCTCTGTAACACCCACCAAATGACTGGGCGGGCCCATGCAAATAGGGCGTGTGAACACTGACAGCGAGGCCTGGTCCGATTTAGTCACCACTCCTGTGGTTACAAGGGTGAGCCATCTCAGAAGCAGGAACAGAAACGAACTCGGGGTCATCCAGGAAGAAGCGCCTCCAGTGGAGCCCATCGGAGATCCCCGTCTGAAGTGGAGGCCAGAGGCACCAGAGGCTGCACGGCACGGAGACCAGAAGACCGAGCCAAGGAGCCAGGCTGAGGCAAGGGGGCCATGAGACAGAACAGAGGAGCAGCACTAGTATATCACTGTGAGGCAGACTTCCTGGCACCCAGAGGCTGAGGGACCATGTGGCTGAAGCCTAAGGATGGCTGTGGGTTGAGGAAAGGTGTAGAACAATGGCTGTATTTTGAATGTTTTCTATCCCCACCTGTTAACTTCCCGAGTAAACCCCCATCGTCATGAATATTGTCCCTGAGTTCTGGGTGGCCATTGTAATGAATTATTGAAGCCAGCAGAAAAAGACCATGCTGTGGGAGCAACAAGGGATGTCAGAGTCGGGGGTGGGGGGGGTGGGATGATGAAGGCTGGAGGTGTGTCTGACCTCTCTACCTTGTGACACGGGCCGTGGACTGGGGTGGAGATGGACTCTCCTTCTCCCTTGACAGAGCAGGTCAGATGCAGCTTCCGCACGGTTGATTATGCAGCCGAGCACGGGCACCCTTGCCCATCCCCCAGGGACTCCTTTACCCCCAGAGACCTAGCACTTAGGAATGTACTCACAGGGAGGAAAACATCGTGAAACCAAGTCTGGTGAGCTCCTGACTCCTGGCTTTTTCTGTTTATAGAATCAAAGTACTTGCCTGTCAACAGGTTGAAGTTACAACGTGTCCACTGGTCAGTGTCGATGTTATAAGAATCTATATGTCGCACGAGAATCCGGTCGTTGTTGTAGTCTAGGTCGTTGCCGCCGAGAACATAAAGCTTCCTTTGGACCGCAGCCATGGAGTGGTAGACCCTTCGCTGCAGCATAGGGCTGCGGCTTATCCATGTATTCTGAAAGCGAGAGCAAGGAGAATTCTATGAGTGGGCACTTCCATGAAGAAAGCAGCAGTGGCCACTCAGGAGCCCAGGTGACGCTCACGCTTCTCCATGGCCATTCTTCCTGGAGGTTGGTCATATCCATGGAAAGGTATTGATTTCTTCTTGGGGGTGGGGGGTGTCAGTGGAGAAGATTGACATATTCTTTTTTTTTTTTTGATCGACATATTCTAACTGTATTTTGCAACTCACTACAAAGCATTTCCTCCTGGTTTGGGGTCCATTTTCCTGAGCAATTTGCATCTTGTAAGAGGAACATAAGAGAATCTAGAGGTGTGCACAGTGGCTCTCTCACAATTCAGAGATCTTACTCAGGGGACTCACTCAAGAGTAAACCTATTTTGAACAAAACCCATTAACATTAAGTCCATTCCAATTCCTGAAAGCCCTCTACGGGGTTTCTATGGCTTTAAGTCTTTACATTAGCAGACAGCCTCATCTTTTGCCTTGAATCATTTAGTGGGTTTGAACTGCTGACCTTAAAGTTAGCAGCCCAATGCCTAACCCACAGTGCCACAAGGGCTCTTCAAACTGTTATAGTAATTAAGAAAGCAAACTGGTCTGCGTTTATACCCGGTGTGTGGCCTTTACCAATTCACTTTGCCCTGTTTATACCCGGTGTGTGGCCTTTACCAATTCACTTTGCCCTGTTTATACCCGGTGTGTGGCCTTTACCAATTCACTTTGCCCTCTGTACCTGTTTCCTCATCCAAAAATGGGGATACTCCCTGCTAATAAGGCTGCTGTGAAGAGTAAATGAGATCATTCACACAACTCATTTGGAAGAATGCCTGGCATTTAATACACCTCCTGTAAAAGCTACCTTTTAAAGGTGTTATTGTGGCATAGTGGTTATGTGTTGGGTGGCTAACATCAAGGTCAGCAGTTTGAAACCACCAGCCGCTCCTAGGGAAACAGATGGGGCTTTCTACTTCGGGAAAGAGCTCCAGTCTCCGAAATGCACCCGGCCAGTTCCCCCTGCCCTCCAGGGTCACTATGCGTCCACACGGACTCGATGGCAGTGCATCTGGTTTGGTTTAATTGAGGCTAATCACTGGTCTATCCCAGGCTCTCCTAGATAAGCAAAGGGGCTCTTGTTTTTGTTTTTCCTTTTGTTTTTCCACTTCCTGTGGTCACTGGAAGAGCCTGAAATTGGGTCAGCTACAAACCTTCCAACCTCAACTTCCTTCAACAGATTTGCAATCTCATCTTAGGAAAAGTGGTTTCTGGACACACTTGTTGGTTTTGCTTGAAGGCCAAGGTTTATACGGTGCCTTTAGAGGCTGGTGAAACCTTCAATATCTGGTTCCCGCTCACTATCAACAATGAGACGTGTAAGTGCGGCCCGCCTTAAACAGACCTCTAGTTCAGATGGCATCTAAGATGTACATTCAGATAAAATCAGATTTGACTTTAATTTGAACCTCGACTAAGTAATCAACAGGTAAACACACCCACGCACTTCCTTTCTACATTGACACTAAGCACACCGAAAGAACCCAGAGTCCAGTTTGCCCAGAAAAATCTGGACTTTAACCAGAAAAACGTGGTTTTCAGTAAACAGAAATGTACTAGTTTACAAAGCGTTAGGGAAAGAAGGAGAGAAAAAATAGCGTGTTCTATAAATGCTATTTCACTCACTCTAGGCCTCTCTACTAGCGCGTTTCTAATGCCTCTTTGAAAGACACCCCCCTCCCCCCTGAAAAGAAAAGGATCATGTAGTTTGAAAAGCTTGAATCTATAACTGCTTCCCTTATTTGGAACATGTCATCTTAAGAATTGCCTTGCAATCAAACATCACCTCTAGTAAAATAACAAAGTCTGTCAGCTATTTTGCTAAGAGATATCTATCTCATGGTACACACGAGTGAATCTAACTCAAAACGACGATGAAGCATGTTCGGGGGGATTTTTTTAACAACCCATTACAGTATTAGGAATCAATGTTTGCATTAGCAAGTCATTTTCTTGCCACCAGACTATGGACGCCATCTGGCTTGCAAAGCCGGCCTGCATCCCCCATTGTATCTTCAGCTTCCTTCACTGTGGTGCCTGCCAGGTGAACCGCCACCCCACTGCAAAGGCAAAGACACAGAGAGGCCTGGTGGGGTCGTTCCTAATAAGCTAGCGTGTGAATACTAATCAGTGGTGGGGATGCAGAGGTCAGCACAGTCGGCCTGTTGGCAGGTAGCGATGTGCTCTGCAGCAGATGGCAGGCATTATCGACTCTCCACAAAGGCCTAGAAGAGAAATCAGCACTAGGGCTGAGTGATAGAGTTATTGAGATTCCGAACAAGATGCAAGCAGATGTGATGTTTGCCAGTACCCACCGTAAACAATATGCCAGCAGAATTTTTAAAAAGAGCATGTGTGTACAAACACGAAAGAGAACTCATTTGAGGCAACATTAACACCTTCGTCCTCTTTCACCACGTGTGCACCAGGCTGCAGCATCTGCAATTAATGCCCGCTCTGGGGACTGCTGACCCATGGCTATGCGGTCCCTGAAGACCACGGCTTCTCCTGACACCCGGGGCACATGTGCACAGGGACAAATGCTTTCTCTAGATTCAGAAGCAAGTAGGCCAGTCCAACTAGAGAGAGCAGGTGGCCATTCCTGACACACATTTGGTGGCCAGTCATGGCTTAGAATGCCGAAAGCCAACCTGTTGTTTCAGGCCTCACAATGATAAATATGAAATGCCTCAAATCAAACCTTTGGGGGATATTTTCAGAATCATGAAATGTCAAAACTCCACAGACACATGCCAACGTCGTTGATGTTTTAGAGAAGGAAAGGAGAATAAAAATGTCCTCCTTTTAGGGGAAGAGAAAAATCATGACATGTGCATGAGAAGCTGACTCACAAAGAGAGGCAGGCATCTTCCAAATGGTTCCCATTCAGAGAGCAAGTGGTAAGGGGCAAGCAACTCCAGCTCTTTGGCTGTTTCTACAGCTGCCTTGTCCTATGCCCTGCTCTACCCTGGGGAGGAGAGAACCCTATTCACAGGCACACTCCCTTTCTAGAACGACACACTTTTTAGCAGTACAAAGCAAGGGGGCAATCACGTTCATTTCTTCAAAGGCTTCTATACATGAACAGTCATGGGAGCGGAATTAGTTGATTGTGCCAACCTGGCCGGTAAACATGTGGCGTTAGTTGAAGGGCGGAGGGATAAATGGCTCAGTGAGCCTCTCCTTTGGAGGTCTTGGGTCTCTTGTTTTCTGATTGTCAGACCAGGGTGCAGCTGCCTTAGCCAGTTCCCTGCTTCAGCTGGCAAGGCTCACTTTCTGCAAGACATCCCCAAGAAGAAGCCACATGGACCTAGCCTGATGCAGCCCTGGGTGCTGGAGCAGCCGTGTGGAGATCCCTGCCAGCGCTGAGATGCTTACACATTCACTGACTCGGCTTTCCTTCCGCAGTCAGCATCATTGTGTCTGTTTTGTGAGATGGAGGAGGACTTTGTGGATTGGTGTCGGACATATGGGTTAATGTTGGACTTGTGGACTTGGACAGCACTGGGTTAAGATGTTTTCTTGATGTGCACTCACCCTTTATATAAAACTCTCTCTTATACATGAGTTTCTGTGGATTTGTTTCTCTAATGTACCCAGACGAACACAGGAACTTACATTTGCCAAGGTATTTTCCCTTGTTTTTTACACTGGGCAAAACTGCGAGTTTGACACTGTGTACAGCACAAAACTAGAGGAGTTGAAATTTTGTGCGTTAAAAAAAAGAAACCCAAAGCAGTTTTCCTCTCTCTTTTGAAGCTTGCTGAGAAGGATCCCTAATACCGTGTACTGACAAGGCATTCCGATGGCAGTGGAATGTAGTAAAGATCCCGCTTAATGAAAGCCATGCAGTGCTCTTCTGTTACCTTACCTGGTTAGGTTCATACACCATGAGCCGGTTCTGATACTGTGCTGTGTTAGTTACTCCACCTGTAATGGAGTAACATGTGTTAAAGCTTTTCATGAATAAGAAATAGAATATCCCAACATAAGAACTGAGATGCAATTAAAGGAAAATTAGCTACTGCTGAGGATCCGTTTGTATCCCTTCCTGGTGAACCCATGACATAATTAAGAGTGTATTGTTAAAGCAGGTTCATTCTCAAGAAACAGTTCAGAAGCAATCCAGGTGAGAACAGGCAACAAATAGACTGAGATTACCAAAAAACTTCCACTTCTGGTGAAGTGTCATGTGTGGCCAGAGAGGAACTATGTGTTTGGGTGGGGGTGGGGGTGGGAGGAGTGGCAGGGAGAGGGCAGTTGAGGAGTGCACTGTTGGTAAAAGGATGCAATATAGTTAGACAAGTCTATGCAATTTACGCCAGCCACAAGGTGTGTGGTAAACCCTTGTCCTTGTCTGAATTGGCAGTCGTATAATTCTAGCCTCATGTAGACCAGCACTGCATTATCTTGATGTCTTGTTAGAGGAAGCAGATCTAAGAAAAGTCTTTAGTTATCAAAAGCGAACGCCAGCAGTGCAAGGGCCACGAACACCAGTCACACACACCCTGAAACAGGAACCAGGAAAATGAAATTTAATAACCTTAAGCTCGCTATACTCAACGTACTATCAACAAGAAACCAATCTTTGAAACGTTCAAATCTTTTATGCTTTTCATCACAGAACATGTTTGAGACCCAGTGCGTTGTTTGAAATAGCATGGTCTTCATCCGGATTCGCCGTATTTCAAGTGCTCACTAAGCAGAATGACTGCCACACTGGACAATACTGATCTAGAGTAATCCACAGCAGTTGCTTTAGAGTTGACTTTTTTGAAATCCTCCTGACAACAGCATAGCTCTAAGAACCTTGAGACCCCCTCCCTAAGCAAACCAAGTCCACTGGCATTCAGTCAGTTCTGACTCATCTAGC